TATATAGAGAAAAAATATATGAAAAACAAATATATTTCTTAAATGACTATATAGATAAATTCGGCATACCTATTGCAATGAATACAAACTAATAAAAAACCATAATAAATATAAATAGAATATATTCTGGAATGAATATAATTTTTAAAAGGTAAAAATTCTAGAGAAAAAAAACAAAATTTAAATTTTATTTGAAAATGTAACTGATGAGAAAATTAAGGATGCTGGCCTTTTTTTTTGAAATATTCCCTCCCTTAATTTTCTCCTTTTGTTATTAAATAATTATATTCTTTAAATAAAAATAAATAATAAAAACATAAATAAGATACATAACAAACTAAAATGACATTTTTACTAATATTAAAATTATTGCTAATTGATACTCTTAAATGCTAAAATATTGACATTTTGAAAAATTTCCCCTAGGTTATCAAATTTTTTTAAATATCAAATCAAATCAATTTGTACTTGTAATGTTGGGATGATTTCGTTTTATTTGACTCTATTTTTTGTTAACGCTAAACCTAATCAATTATGACTGAATCAAATCATTAATAATAAAAAGAAAATCAAATTATCGGGTTGGTTTATTTTTGAAGTAGAATTACATTGAAAAACCAAAAGTGTAGACTTGAGGGGACCAAACTTTTTGCACAATCAAAGGATAAGATCCACTTTTGAGAGAGTGAAGTGAACTAATAAAAGAGAGCTAAAAAGTCTAAAATGAACTCCTACAAGTTAGCATAAAGTTTGTAGGAATTTGCAACTTTATGTACAATTGAAGTACCTCCCCATAATGCATGCTTTTGTTCTTGACTTCTTTCTATCACTAAACAATATTCTTTGCATCTATCACATGGTACATCAAATACTATTATTTATCTTATTCACTAAAAATAGTTATCTTAAATTATGCGACCATTTCTACTTCTAGACTTAACTTGCATACTTCCTCTTTCATTTATTGTTCTACAAATTTCTCACTTTTTTTCTCGATTTCTTGAGTTTTAAAATTATGCATATGCTATGTTAGAGACTAATTGACATTACAATATCCATTATTTCATGTTTCATGTTCCTTAATATTAAAGAAGACATTTCCCTGTTTCATGTTACTTGTAATATTTATCAACACCATATTAATTAACTTTAGGGTCTAATTAAGTAGTAGTAGTAGTAATAAAGAGCCAATTCAATAATGCGAATCGAATCACTATAGTTTAAACATAGGCTTACTTATAATAAGAGCGGCGCAACTACATCAACTTACTGTAAAGAATCAAAGAAAAACTATTTTTACTATGTTGCATCCTATCAATGAAAAATTCTAATGTCACAATTAGTAAAACATGTCATAACAACTCAAGTCACTATTAATATTGGTCAACTCATATTTTGAACCTATGTCTACACAACTTTGAAAACATTTAAAAAATGACTTATTTCAACCAAGGCATTTGGTACTCAGATGGAGCAACAAACTCGACTATAGACCATGTATGTGTCAAATCTTTTAAACCATTATCATATACCTCACAAAACTTGCTCTTCCAACCTATAGGCTCAATGGGGTTGAACCCTAATCCTGGAGTCCGGTCATTTGAACCAAGGTTTGATGGTTTAGTCCAATCAACAACATAAGTTGACACCCTCCTCC